GGCGTGCAACTTCTGACAAATAAGGGAAAGTGAGAATTGAATCTTACGCTGCGAGATGATTTATCGGCGTGACAGCAAAGCACATTACAGCAAACTGTTTAAGCCGCTCACAGCGGAGATGTTTATAGAAGCAACACAACGGTCCTCGAGACGGTCTGTACTTTACATGGGCAGAATTGAGTTTCTCAAAATACTTCAAGTACTTCAAGTACCCTGCACTGTCTATTTGTGGAAATTAAATCAACTCTAAACCCTCTGAGTATGATTGAACCGTCAAGGCTTTAGCACAAACTTTTCAGATCTACGTCGGCCCAAGTCACGGCTCTACGGCAGCCTACAGGAAGTACGGCGGTACTTCAACTTCACTTGTTCATCGGTACTTACATTTCACAGATAGAGTTTGATTTAAGGTTACGTCACTGACCACTGTCCTCCAGCTTTGGTCTGTGTTTAGTTAGTTGGACCAACTAACTATTACGTTAATTTAAGACATCATTTTCCAATGATTCCATTTCCTCCAATAAAACAGCGATCCCTAAACACCAGGACACGAGCCAATAGCACGCCCTTGATCGTTGGACATCAGGTCACGTAGAAAAAATTACAATTTTTTTTACATTACATATTTGTGAGCACTCAAATCAACATAACCAAAAATTAGTAAAATAAATAAAAACAAAGCGTCCCAAAATGAAGGCTCATAATTTAAAACAATTCTATTTTCAGTATATATTAGGGCTGTGAGGTAATATTGATACACCCATATATATCACAATATTTCATGGATTTTAAATTTTAAATATTTTTGGACTGACATGCGAGTTTTGTAAGTTTTCCAAGAACAGAAAACATATATTTCAGTGCGAAATCTACAAATATTCATCGAAATATATTTACTCACAAAGAAGCTATCGTTATATATTTTTTTACAGAACGTGGCACTAATGTAGTTGCTTTAGGAACCTGGCCTCATTTGAAAACAATATTGACTATATTTAGCCCAAGGTCGACGCCGTCGTCCACTCGATAATGAAACGTGTTGTGGCTCGACGTAAACCCACCAAAGTAGAAAATAAGTGACACAAATGGGACAACAGACAGAAACCAGGTCAGTGTCTGGATCTGTAGATTTTACTCCAAATTGTCCTTCTTCAAAATATGGAACAGCAAAAAGACGTCATCGAGCTACGGCAGCTACGAAAACCTTTTTTTTTTTTTACGATGGCTACAACATTAATATACTTAACAAATGCATTATTTGAATGTTAGGTCTGTTACTAAATTTATAAATCAGGGATACTACTGTAACTGACAAATACATATATGGACATATATACATATATTTATAAATATATATAAATATATGTATAGGAATATACAAATAAATAGAGTAAATACACAAATACATATATGTACATATATACATATATTTATATATACACAAATATATACACATACATATGTATAAAAACATATATACATATACATATACATATGTATTTATGCATGTGCATATATGTATGTATATTTATTTAAAAATATGTTCATGAAATACACATATATGTGTATACTACAACAAAAAAGAGCAGGTACCAGTTCTGGCCTGCGGGCCGTATGTTTGACACACCTGTTGTAAATGCTGTGCAGCAAAAAAAAACAACCATGTTTTTATTTGCCACCAGAAAAGTTAATGAACGGCTGTGGGTTAACGACCGTTACAGGGATTAGGAACACGTCATTAATCTCTAAGGTCGTCCGTGTCTGTCCAGTAAAAAAAAAAAAAAAAAGAAGTGAGAAAACAATATGTTACCAATAATAATTCAGCAGAGTTTTTATTTTCTTATCAAAGACTCTTTCACTGTCAAGACTCAATTATCAGAAAACTACGAAACAAAAACTGATTCTGACGCACTTAAGGTTTTCAATGGGTTTGTGTCGGACTGTCATCAAGAAAAAGATCTGTGACAATGACACACACATACACACACACACACACACACACACACATCTAAGAAATTCCAAGCGTCTTCAAGGATTGAGGATTTTAAAACTCTGAGAAATTTGGACTCTGGACAAGACGTCCTTGAAATGTCGTACAGTTGACTTTGGCAAAAACAAAACAAAATGGTGTAAAACGCCAACACTTCGCTAAGTGTTTGGGTTTTTTTTTTTTTTTAGGTGTTTTTAACGAAGAAAAAGTTCAGGGAAAGCAGTTATTGGACGGTTAAAGAAA